GACCAACCAGTGATGCCTTGCACATGTAAACCAGACATAAAGTTTATTCACTACTGATAGTATTTTCTAACCAACTCATGACAAAACATACCATGTCATCTTGTAACCCTGGAAAGCCACTGCCAGTCAATATAATTCAGAGCTGGGTGGACTGGTGTTCTGGCTACATAGAAGACTTCTTTCTTTCCAAGTTGCTGTGTTGGAACAGTTTTCCAGAAGACCTTTATCCTATACCTGCTTTGCCTCCAAACATTTTTCTGTTTACACATGATGCAACCAATCTAATTTGCAAGGACCCTTCATCCTGCATCAATTTCTTCCTTTGCCAATTTTAGCCTTATTTTAAGAACCAGGCCATTTCTTTTCCTCACAGAAGAGAAAGGCATAAAAAATGATAAGCAATATCTTTTACAGTCTTCGCCCGTGTATTGGCAAGATATTGCATTGTGCTCTTCCTTTCCCTGAGCAATGTGACATTAAGCGGGGCCATTGATGGGTAAATTTATTTTGAAGAAGAAAGCACAGGAGATTTACAGTGCCTTGTAATATTCTCACTGCTTTACAAAAGCACAGCGGGATATGTGCATATCTGCCAGGTAAAAATGAAAAGCATTTGTAACTTTCTAGATGAGTTTTCAGAAACTAATGAAGACAATGGGGTTGTATCCAGATTAAGCTCCTAGAAGCTGTCAGCAGGCAACCACAGCCACACACCCTGGGCAGGGGCGGAGGAGGGTGTGTGTGGTGGGGGCAAACCGCCCCGGATGTCTTCGCTGAGGGGGTGACATTAGGCACGCCGCCCGCCCACGACTCCCAAGCCTACTCGGAGCCGTCGGAGTAAGGAGGGGAGTTGTGCCGCTTTGCTGGCGGCACTCCCCCCTTCCCTCTTCATTTTGACAGCTTGTGGGAGGATTGGGAGTAGTGGGTGGGCAGTGTATCAAATGTCCCCCATTGGCGGCCCGCTCCACCCCTGGCTACAGGGCGCATGTGCCGCTCCGTGCACCCAAGCGACTATTCCATGCCTGGGAGGGTACCCTCTGCACCCCGCCCCCCTCGGGAGCATGCCTGGCTTTGACTGTGGCTAAATGAGGGTAGATGATGGGTCTCAAACCCTCAGTGAGTTAGGGACTTCCTGTGTTCCTACGTTATTTGATGTTTAATGGTACAGGGTAAAGGGACCCCTGACCATTAGGTCCAGTTGCGGACGACTCTGGGGTTGCAGCGCTCATCTCGCTTTACTGGCCCAGGGAGCTGGTGTACAGCTTCTGGGTCATGTGGCCAGCATGACTAAGCCACTTCTGGCAAACCAGAGCAGCGCACGGAAACGCTGTTTACCTTCCCGCCGGAGCAGTACCTATTTATCTACTTGCACTTTGATGTGCTTTCGAACTGCTAGGTTGGCAGGAGCTGGGATGGAGCAACGGGAGCTCACCCCATCATGGGTATTCGAACTGCCGACCTTCTGATCGGCAAGCCCTAGGCTCTGTGGTTTAGACCACAGCACCACCTGTGTTTGATGTTTAGAGGCCAACTAATTATGAATGGCTGCATCATTATTGGTATGGTGATAGAAAAGGCCCCTGAAATCCCAATTTAAACAAGGGTGTGTCTGGAAAGGCAACACTAGTCCTGTTTGTTTCAAGTGTCATTTGCTATTGTTGTTTGGTGGTATGTTTATCTTGCTATTCAACATAAAAATTACAAAATCTCATACTAAGAATAAACACTTCAATCCAGCACAAGGGAAATATAAACTCGTATTACTCTTCTGTATGTGTGTGTTTTTTAAAAAATGCTGCTAAGCAGAAAGGAAAATTTAAGATTGCAGTAGGAGGAGTGGCTGTGGTGAAGGAGGATTGGCTGCAGAATTGACTGTGGATCAGGGCAGAGCATGCACATTCCACTACTGTACACAAGGATCTCTGGGCACGGCTGCAGTTTAAGGATTCAGGGTTAAACTCCAGGCATGAAACCAGATTGAAGTGGACCTAGATACCAGCAGATATTTTCAGTGGCAGAATATGAAGCAAAATGTAGAACGTCAGAATAAAATACAACATAGACAGAGTGAGAGGAATTTCTAAGTGTCCTGTTATTGATCTCATTCATCTCTGCTGCCCGATACAAAATAGATGAACTAAGCCTTAAAAAGATTCCTGATTCGATCATTGTTAAATGAGTACTACTGTATTTAACTGGTTTTGCTGCATTGCATGGATTTACTGCGCAATAATGAATAGAAGGTGACCAGATTTGAAGGAAATCTCATTTTCTTACATTGGATTCAATTCACTCCTATGCTGTGTTATATATTCCCCATAAAATGGCCGAATCAAGACCTTTCAAGCGTCCCTGTTTTTCAGGGACAGCGCTGGATTTACAGAAGCCGTCTGGGTTTCTGATTTGATCCTGGAATATCTCGCTTTTCCTTAGGACACCCCTATTTTCATCAGAGAAATGTTGGAGGGTATGGTAGGATGTCCCTATTTTTATTGGAGAAATGTTGGTGGTATGTCAATCTTGCCCCCATTTTATACACTGATTTACTCTTGCATGATTAAATAGTTTATTCAGTTCTTAAGAGCAATCCTTTACATGTCTAGTCAGAAGTAAGGTCCATTGACTTCAATGTGTTTTACTCCCAGATGAGTACAGGACTGCAGCCCAAATGTACCAGCGCTTGAAGTTTCCACGAAATCTTCCTGCCCTCGCTATTATTATTATTTATGTTTAAGCTCACCCTGTAATAATATAAAATTGTATAATTTTAATAACAGCATGAATTACTGCACAAACAGCTCTTCGGGGAATTATACACCAGACTTTAATTACAGACACTTTCCAGTTCAGATGCTTGAAAATGGAGAGTAACAGAGAAAATTCCAACTATTCTTTTGCTGCAAGCAATTCCTCTATTTAATAATTAAAGTATTAACAGCATAATGTGACAAGTGCATATGCATGTAAATGCAACATTAGACACTGGCTTAACCTTGATTGTATAAATCAGTCTGGATTGGTGTGTTTGGTAAGGAAAGCACGTACAAGGGATCATACAAGTGAATTGATCAAAATAATTCTATCATTAAATAATATGATGGTGCATAGTTGTCTATCTGTCTACTATTAGTTAGCTTGATCTGGAAAGCTCCAAAGGTTCCCTTTATCTCACATTCTGTCTGAACGTACTAGCACAAATGTATCTTAATTTAGGACTGTCATATGCCCAGATTTTCTTGGACATTACCGGGATTTCAAAGGCAGTAACTGGCATTTGGGGGGAATTTCCAAAAGATGGTGCTTTGTCCTGGATCTTAGGCAAGTCAATCAAAAAATTGCTTTTTTGAAATATGGCAAGCCTACTTAATTCCCTTCTGCTCTGTTATAATATGCCATGGGACAACAATGTAGCATTGCAATCATTTTTGTATTTTAATCTGGTCAATGTATGTGTAAATTGGTCTTGCACATCTCAATCCCACAGTTCCTTGACTTTTCAAAGCCCTCTGGTGCCTGCATGTGACCTCACCATACCTCAGAGCACCCCATTAGCTTCAGTGTAAGACAATTTACTACATTTACACAAAGGGTCATGTTTAACTTAACAGGGAAGCCTTATACCCATCAGAGTCTCAGGCACTGGAGCCAGTAAGTTCATCCTAAGTGATATTTAAGGAACACTTATTAAACACTTCATTGAAAGCCACTGAATTATGGTGGCTCAAGTGTTGGATTTAGACAGTCATTCTACATCCAGGTGAGCTCTGGTAGCTGCTGCGCCTCAAAATCACCATGTATATGGTCTGTATGTGTGTGAGTATAACATGAGGGAGCCCTGGGACAAGCTCTGATAAATAGCAGTGTCCCTGAGGGAGGCAGGCATTCACTCTTTCCTTCATGGGACTGAGGATTTTAACAGAGATACTAAACTCATCTATCTGCTCATTAATGATAATAGGAAATATACTTCTCTTGGACAAAAATATTTCAATTTGCTTGTAACTCTTCCTGAATGTTAGCTTCACAGACATAACAGATCAACTTCTGAATCCCAAAAAGTTTTATTTAACCCTCTCTCCCATCCTAGAAGCGTGAACAGGAAGCATGTGGCAATTGCGCTTCCTGCCTCCCGGCTGCGTCTCTGCCACATCCAAACCCACCCTAAGATGACATTTTGACGAAGAGATGCATTTCTGTTTATAGGTTGTTTTCTTTACTTTCTATTACTGTGTCAATGGATTAATTATTTCTTTATGCAATTTTCATCTAAAGAGGCTTGCTGCTAATTTTCTTCCTGTAGCAGCACTGTTTAATTAGGCAATCACCCGTGTGTCTACATGCTGGTAGGAAAAAAAGCGACAGAAATTACACAATGTGTTCATTTAAAACTCTGCAAAAGATACTCTTTAACTAACAAATTAAACGAGGAGGAGGAGGGAGGGGGCTTGAGAGAACTACAGATGAAAATTTCAGAGGCCAGAAGTAATAGGGAAATATCTAGTTAACACACACATTATTAAAATTGTGTTTTCTGGAAGGCCATTGTTTAATTTCACATACCACCCTTCCTGATTGTTTCCACTCATTGGATAGGCATACTGGCGTGTTCTTTTTTATATAATCCATGGTTGGTGTTGTCTTCCTTCCACGTTGATAACCTGTAGTGCTTTTTGTGTAAATGCATCTTGCTCTGTTCTCTCCGCACCAATAAGTGTGGCACAGCCATGGGGGCAGACATTTAAGCACACCCTTTTAAAAATAATTCTCTTTTTTTAAATCCACTAAAGCACTTTTAAATTAAAGTGCTACAGCATATTTAACTTCAGTAATTTTTTTTAAAAATGTAGTTTATTCGTTTTCAACAGTTACACCATAAACATAACATAAAAACCAAAACCATGCAAGGAGTACAGATTATTGGATTGCCAGTTGCACAGAGTAAAATTAAGGTACATACTTAATAGTTTCACTGGCTTAATTAGTCCTCTCCATAAAGATACATCCGACACTGGGGGTTGTAATAGCTGTGCTGGCTTACTAATGTGATCAATAAACAAAGACCATGTGACTTTAAAAATGGTCCCTCTCTGCCTGTCCATCTATAAGTCTGCTGTGCTGGGTAAAGCAATAAACAGATTGCTGGGAAATAAATACAGAGCTAAAATGGTACTGGCTATAAAGGCAGTTCTTTTTTTTTCTTTCTAAAGTGTTATTCTGCAAATAGTTTAGCATCTTAAAAATAAACAAAACCATAGGTGAAAAGGCACTTTTGAACAAATTTTCGAACCTTTTTTTAAAAATTAAGCACACTGATATAATTGCATTATCCAAAAAGATAATGGGCAGAGCACTCAATCTCCTAGCTAGTGACAATTGGCAGAGGTAGCTGTCCACCTGCAGAGAGCAGCTCTATTGACACAGAAGCCACTTCTGCTGCAGAGGCCGCTGCAATGCCTATGGAAATCTACCACTGACATTCTTTCTGCTAGCAATAGCTAGTCTAAGGCCCTGAAATAGGGCACTCGGAAGCCAGAGACGGATGGAACAGAGGTAGCCTTGGATCCACGGGCTCCAAAGCCCCTCCAGAGAGACTCCAGCGTCAGGTCCCCTATGCCAGCCTGGAGGTGATGTGAATAAGCCTGAGACTCTTAATTTCAGAGCTGTGGGTTCTAGCCCCACATTGGGCAAAATATTCCTGCATTGCAGGGGGTTGGACCTTTGTGGACATCGTAACTCTACAGTTCTCTACGATTCCAAGTAGCTGATCCCCATTGCTTGGGAGGGGGAACTTGGAGAAATAAGAACCCCCCAAGGAACAACAGGTGAAATACTCAGGGGCGGGGTGGAGGCACTGCTTACCTGACCTGCCACCACTGTTACTGTGGTGTACCAAGAGGGGTGAGGCAAGAAAGTCAGCACAATGCAAACACACCACCTGGAGGGTTGGATTGGCTCCTCCAGCGTATTTGTACCATGTCAACCTGCCTCTTCCTGGTATGCCGCAGTGGTGTGTCACGTTGTCATGCCAGTAGTTCCTGCAGGAAAGGCATCATCCCCTTCAACACCTAGGCCTTAGAAGTGGCAAGAGGTCATCCTATCCTACTTAACATTATGCTCGGTGCTGAAGTGTTTGTGTTTTGACAGGCTTTCCAACCTGATGCATTGCTGCACACATCTGAGTCGCACCTATTAAAACAGTCAAAATTAATGCTAAGGTGATCTAATTTGCTGCAGATTCCACTTCTGGCCTGTTCTTCAATAATACTTATAAAAATGGATTTTTACTTATTTATTTTTTGCAATCTGAGATAAGACAGGCTGAGCACCAGAAATGAATCCAAGAGGACAACCTGGAGCTAATGCCGAACACTTTAGCCAGTGGTAGCACCCACCACCACTGCAAAACCCTGAAATGTTCGAATCCGTTCTTATTGACTCAAGCAGCAAAATAGCTATTGATTGCAAGGACTCTGTATTGCATTTTCAGCACTCCAGTGAGCATGCCACTGGAATAAACCCTGTTTGGACCTTAGTTCCAACTTGCTTCCGCATCTGACCGCCCTGAGCAACTTTATTTAATAATTACTGTGCAATTATCCCCAAAGTGACAGCTTGCAGGATATAGGTAAGGCAATTGTTTCACTCTGTTCCTATACTGCACAAGGGAATGAACTGCTGACTGGTCTGAACAATAATGAACTCCCACAAGAACTAGAGTGGGAAAGAATATTAGAAAATGCATGTGGCAGGAAAGGAGTTCAAAGCAGAGGGGTGTGGGAGGCACCAGAGAACAAGACAGAATGTGACCAGAGTCATACCATGTATTTCTGATATGGCGGGTGCTTTCTTAATCAGTGATGTCTTAATGGGGGTGGGGTGGAAATCATTTCATTGCAAAGGTTTCATAAAGCCAACATGTTGCCTTATCCTGCAACCTGTCAGGTTCCATTCTAGAGGTGATGCCATCCAAACCTATTGTTTCTTTATGTGCTGTCCTCGTACAATATGCTTTAAAGCTTCAGCTAATTCTTATAAGGAGCTCTTTTTGTAGTTCTGTATGGTGTGGTGGGTACTCTTGTTTTTTTCCACAGTGGCCAAGCAGGTGCCTCTGCTGGCAAACCTGCAAGCAAGATCTGAATGCAAGGGCAGCCCTTTCTCCTTCCACGGCTTATAGAATGGAATTATAGAGTTGGAAGGGAACATGTGCATCATCTAGTCCACCCTCTGCCATGCAGGAATCTTTGGCTCAAGATGGGGCTTGAACTCGGAATCCTGAGATTAAGAGACTCGGTTTTTGTTTTGTTTTTTAAAAAATGAAAGCATGGTTTAGAAATACTTAAATCATAAATAAATCTGAAGTTTGGGCAAAGGTCAAAAGACAAGGACTCTACAACCCTGGCATAGCTTTGGCAGGCAGGGACCTCAGCTGATTTTGGTTGTCATGAGAATTAATGCTGATTATTACAGTACTTTTATGGCCAGGTTCTGGTGGGATTCTCTGCCTCAAGTGCCAATAACTCGACCAGCTTTGCGTACTATGCAGCTTGACTTAGGTTAAAGAGGTTGTTATTTGCTGTTGTGACTCAGGTGGCAAAATGTTTTGGGGTGTCCCTGAAAGTGAGGAATGAGAGAAGCCCATCTTTCAAAGAACAGACGTGAGTAAATGCAGATATACCTAGCAGACTTTGTTGCAATTGTGTATGGTGCTGGTGCCAGGTTGTAATAGAAAAGTTGTTTGAGGAAGAATTTAAGATAGACTAGGCAACGGATGGCTTAGAAATCTGGTCTGGCTCTCAAGGACATCCCATGCGGCTGCTATCAAAATCCCTGATCCCCAAGGCATCTCACCTCTTATTTACCTTAGTAACTTTTCTAAAAAAACTTTTTGTGTAATAAGGGAAAGGCTTTGAAGACTTCTGGTGCCTATAGGGTGGCCACTTATTCATTGCAAGAAGAGGATACAGTTTTGCATATGCTAATTTGTATGTATAGATGCACATTTGAAAAATTGTTATTGCAATTTAATTACTCATCTTCTCATCCTCCACAATTGGGGGTGGGAGGCTAACTAAGGTATGGGATGTGGCTCAGATGATCAAGCTGACAAGCATCATAAGGGTTAGAGAAAGTCATCAAAAAGACAATAAATGCATAGAAAAGTGGTGTCTGTTCATTTCCTACTGCAACCAAAGACTGAAGGAGGTGATGAATTCATGTAACTTATTGGAGGTGATATATAGACAAGCATATTTGAGGTTTAGTTATTTATGCAATTTCATTAGTTTTCAGTTGTTGTGTTGTTGTTGTTTTTTAAAAAATACAACTTAAACTGAATGATTTGGATATTTTATATAGGATAAGGATGAAAGTTTTTTCACAGAACTTTTTTTTTAAAAAGGAAAAGAAAATAATTATGATATTTACATAGGAATGCAGTGCATCTCACTTATAGTGGGAAAGACTGGGACCAGTCTGCTCTCAGATGGCGACTGTCGATTGGCAACTTCAAGGTCCCTTCTCTCACACATTATGGTTCATTTTCTGTAAACTGGACTTTGGCTGGTATCCATGACCAGGGCCTCCTGTGAAATTTGGTTCTGGAGTTCTAGAGCTGGAGCTGAACTAGAAATTTAAGTAGTTCAATTTGGAGTCACTAACCCAACATGGATTCAAAGAGATTCATATCCTCACTGTCAGCTCCTCTTCTGCCTGGTCATCTGCTGGGTCATTGTCTACAGCTGGATCTTGCCCTTCATCCTGAGGAGACCCTGCCAGTAGAACCTCCTGGCAGACAAATGGATGTTTTTACACTGACTTTCTGCCAACTTTCTTCTTGATACTTGGGGGGAAAGTTGGGAGAATCAGGGATCAAGGCTCTGGAAAGGTTACTGGGCAGCCCAGGTGAGATGGGAGACTTCAAACTATTTTGGGACTATGGTGGATTCACACAGGTCCTCGCCTACATTGGGGTTCTCTGTGGGATCCTAAGCTTCTTCCTCAGAACTGGTCTTCCAGGGGCTTGGGTCCAGCAGAATCTTGACAATGAAGCACCTCTTCAAATAGAAGGCACTTTCAAATAAAAGACTGAATTCTTGACAGCCCTTCTAGCAGAGGATTATCCTCTTTAAGGTAGGACACATGGCCATTATTAGTGGACTTTTATGTTTTGAAGTAAATAGAATAAGGGGCCATTTGCCTCTCGTGTTCATGGAGAAATAATTGAGCAGAGGACAGAACTAACTTCATTGGCTCCTTAGCTCAACTCAGAATATGCCCCCCCCCATTAAAAATTAGCCAGGTACTAGGGATTTAAAACCATTGTGTTCTTCTTTGGGAGAGACGTACTAAAAATTGCAGAATTGGGTCAAATAGTCATCTTGCCTATTTTACACTTAAGAATTTGGTTTTTTATATTCTCATGTTTGTCTAAAAATGTAACAGTTCTGACAGCTTTCTCCTCTTGTTTTTGCTCAGTTTGGGTATCATATCACATGGCATGTTGAATCAAGGGCTGTGAGTATCAAGCTGTTAATAACATCTGATGCAGAAAAAACCCAACCCATTTAATACTTCAAAGCACGCAAGTGGGCACTTCAAAGCAGAAACAGAAGCTTTTAAGCTATTGTTCCATCTTCCTCAAACATTACACTGTTTCTCTCTGGACAACTCCAGCTGGTGAAACAAAAGGAGCATGTTTTGGAAAATGGTGGTGGTTTCCTGCTCCCGGGGATGGGGGCAGGTTGGCCAAACACTGCTGTTCATTTCATATGTGTGTGGCAGAGATAAAACGAATTACTGCATTGCAGCTAATAATGTGTAAAGGTTATCCTTTCAGTCATGGTTCTTTTGGGTATCCTTTTTGTGTTTAAAGAAAGGCAGTGAATTTTGTTTATACACAGTGTAGTGTGTGTCTCTTCCCAGAGGAGAGCACTGCAAAAGCAAAAGGTAGTAACCAGAGAATGCTGCATAGCTTCCCTGCCTTGCCATATTATTATTATTATTATTATTATTATTATTATTATTAAGCCCTGTTACTCGTTAAATGATCACAAATCACAGCAGGTTCCCTTACTGTGTAGATAATGTAGAGTGGTAGAACGAAGGACAACTTTTAAGTGATTATCTGCACGGAGATGTGTTAGACCAAACTATATTGCATTATTCTAAAAACTTGAATGCAGCCGATAGGTTATTCACCCCACACTTCCTTCAGAGTACTGGTGAATATAGTGGTACCTCTGGTTGTGAACGGGATCTGTTCTGGAGGCCCGTTTGCAACATGAAAAGAACGCAACCCGCAGCGGTGCATCTGCGCATCCGCGCATCCGTAGGTTGCGATTTGCCGCTTCTGCGCTTTCACGTGACTTCATTTTGCATGTCTGCACATGTCCGAGCAGCGAAACCTGGAAGTAACCCTTTCCAGTACTTCCAGGTCACCACGGGACGTAACCTGAAATAACATAACATGAAGCGGACATAACATGAGGTATGACTGTATTTTCAGGCACTATATAAATAGTCTTAAAAGGCTTCATCTGAGGTAGTAAAAACCTTCCTAGATATTTAGCTATGTTAAGAATCTACCTGCTTAAGAGATTAGGGATGCTAAATTTGGCATTTAACAGGTGAACTACTAAGCGAGCAGTTCAAGGTGCAGGCTTTGGGCATTGCTGGCTAAAGATGTGTTGCTTTCTGAAGATGCCAAATTATTCCTCCATCCAACTCAACCTTTTAAAGACCTGCTGCGACAGTTTCTGCCTTCATATATCTCTCATTTGTGGTGTCTCCTGAACAGGGCTATTTCACCTCCAACAATTCAACGTACAGAAACCAATTGGACTGGCAGTTGAAACTTATTTCAACACTGGCAGTGAGATTGCATCCTGCATTGCACTTGAGGGCAGCAGGTTAGTTCAGGGGTACTTGACAAGCCTATGGCGCCGTGATTTAAGAAGGATATTGACAAGCTGGAACATGTGCAGAGGACGGTGTCCAAAATGATTAAAGGTCTGGAAACCAAATCTGGAAATTCTGGTTGAGGGAGTTGGGTATGTTTAGCCTGGAAAAGAGGACACTGAGAAAAGACATGATTGCCATCTTCAGATATCTCAAGGGCAGTCACATGGAAGATGGAGCAAGGTTGTTTTCTCCTGCTCTGGAGGATAGGACTCGAAGCAATGAATTCAAGTTATAAGAAAAGAGATTTTAACTAAACATCAGGAAGACCATTCTGACAGTAAGAGCTGTTCATCCGTGGAATGGATTCACTCAAAAGGTGGTGGGTTCTCCTTCATTGGAACAGAGGTTGGATGGCCATCTGTCATGGATGCTTTAGTTGTGATTCCTGCATTGCAGGGGGTTGGACTAGATGACCCTTGGGGTGCCTTTCAGCTCCACAGTTCTGTAATTCTGTGAAATAAGTACTTTCTATTATATTGAACCTACTGACATTAAATAGCCTGAAGCTTGAGTATTATGAACCAAGGGAGAAGAAAATATTTGCTTCACAAAATGCGTAGATATTTAGCATCATTCAGAATCTTTTGTCTCTGGATATGTTTATAGGCAAGTCTTCTGCAAATGCAATAGCTAACCACAAACAGAAACTAGAAAATCAGCACTTGAAAGTGTAGGCTGGACAGTGTGGGCAGGTGTTTCATTATGATTGTTTTATTGGAATTTTAATTATGGGTGTTTATATTTTAATGGGATTGTTTTATTGTGCATTTTATATTTTAATCCTTGTGTAACTGGTGTTTTTTGGCATTAAGCTGTATATAAATCAACACCAACAGCAATTGCTCTGAATTTTATTAAAAGCAAGAGAGTGACCACCTGGGGGAGCAAATTGTATCCTGAGTGATAGAGCAGGCTCAGTTACCCTAAGCTAAACCTTGTCTCTAAAGCACCTTTATCCATCTTTCCCGTGCAGTCTTTTTTAAGCCTCATGCAAACATACAGTCTCCCTGTGCACTACAAACAGTTAAAATAGCAACTTCTGAAATTAAATTTCGCACCGACTCTGTATTAAGATCACATAATGTCAGCTTTTGCAGCAGATCTATTAGGTGCACAATCAACTATGCCAAGCCTTGGTACGGTTTTTCATTATGCAAAGTCATGTTTCTTGCGTGTTGTTTGGAATGAGCTCTCTGCCGGCATCAGGCAGCGTAGCTTGTCCTTTTGCGATTAACTATTGCATTGCCTTGGCTGATTTTTCTTTAGCTCAGCTTCGTCATCCTGTACAAAATGAATTTCAGGTTTGGATAGAAGACTGAGCTTAATTTTGCTCTGGCTTTATGAAAGAATTGTTTGTTTTCTCACTAGCTTGCAGTTCACTTGAGAGTGTGTATGTTTTGGTCCAAAGCAGGGTTTCAATAAGAAATATAAATACCGTACAGTATTCATGCAAGTTGCAATTGACTTATCTTTTGAGAACACAATCCAAGGACAGAATTTTTATTCTCAAATTATTGAAAATGTTTATAGACGGATTCAAGAACTATAAGTTGAAATGTTACAACTTTTCATTTATTGTTTATTATTATTAATAACAATGATATCCAGTGTTATTTATACTCAGAGCCAAGTGCATTGATTTCAGTGGGTTTACTTGGACTTAATTGGATATCACCAGTAATTCTGAAATGTTCAAAGCCCTTCATGAATAGCAGAAGGGGAAAACCTGAATGGACATTTAACATTGAATCACAGAACTGGAATCTAACCCAATCCCCTGCAATGAGGAATATGCAGCTGTCCTGTAGGGGAATCAAATTCCAACCTTGGTGTTATCAGCACCATGCTCTAACCAACTGAGCTGTTCAGAAGGTGGCTCTCCAGGTGCTGTTGGACTCCTGTTACTGCCAGCAGCATGACCAATGGAAGTACAGCAAAATCTGGAAAACTACAGGTTTCTCATCCCTGATATATAGGCTTACAACAACTCTATGAGGCATGTCAACACTATCTCCATATTAATTATATTTATTTATTTAGCCACTTATACCATGCATTTTAAACTAAAGTATGTTTTTTAAGGCTGCTCAGTCCCTTTTTAAGGCTGCTCAGTCCTTGCTCCTGCCAACCTAGCAGTTCGAAAGCATGTCAAAGTGCAAGTAGATAAATAGGTACTGCTCCAGCGGGAAGGTAAATGGCGTTTCCGTGCGCTGCTCTGGTTTGCCAGAAGTGGCTTAGTCATGCTGGCCACATGACCTGGAAGCTGTACGCCGGCTCCCTCGGCCAATAAAGCGAGATGAGCCCCGCAACCCCAGAGTCGGTCATGACTGGACCTAACAGTCAGGGGTCCCTTTACCCTTTACCTTTATACAATGAAAACAATAAAACAATTTTAAAATTGCATTTCCCTGCAAGAGGAAACACATAAAACAGTTTAATAATGTACACAAGAGCCAGCATAAAATCATTTTTGAAAACAGTAAAAGTCAAAATGCCATTTGAGCCCAGTTAAAAGCAACCCCTCCATACACAGCCCTTTCCTATATGTTTTAGGAGCCTACATTACTAAACTATGTAAGTTTCACACAGTTTGAAATACCATGCCTTTTTCCAATGAATCCTGGGGATTGTAGGTTGGTGAGGATGCTAAGAATTCTCTGTTACAGTTTTCTGACCCCTTCTTAGGATTCCCCAAGGAGAGGGAACAACTGCTAGACCATTTAAGTTTGACATGTAGGTGTTCACTATGGCAGCAAATAAATGCTTAGAATGGGGTGTGACAAGTGGGATTAGATAGATAGATATAGATAGATAAATAGATAAATCATCCATGTGAGATAATTAATAAAAGAATGTGCTGGATGCATATATCTAGAAACACAAACTTCAGTGAGAGAGAGAGCAGCAAGAGAGAATCACAAAAACAAGCAGCAGTGTAGTGTGGGGATTTATGCTGTTAAACTTTAAAATAGTTTAAGTTGCCCACAGGGCTTCCCCTTTTCTACCCCTCTCACACTGAACAGAACACACTGTTAGTAAGTGTGAATGTTGTACTTACAAATTTCAAAGGTCAGATTCATGTGTTATTCCATGCAGCAGCAAGAAGAACACAGGTCAAAAATTAATGGGGTTGCAAAATACAGAAAAATACTTCTGAACATGCTTGAAGCAGTCAACCTTCCAACTTGTTCTCTCTCCCATTTGTTCTCCCTCTCTGCTGCTGGCCACACCCTCCATTCTTTGTTCCTTCCAGCCCATCTCCCAAAGGAAACTTATCCTTACGCCACCTCAGTCCAGTACAGATGCATTCTCCTCCACTGCATCTAAAGGCAAGAGACTAGCTAAGGGGCCACAGGGCAGGCATTAAAACCAGAATCAAGCAAGCTTTGCTACCAGGGACTTGGGAGAATTGGAATGGTTGGATTATTGCTCAGAACTCAGAAGGAGTTGTCCCAGTCAATTTACGTGAGTTTGCTGCCCTATTCTTCTTCATAGTAAGTCTGGCCCTGCTGGGGATGTAGTTGTGTACATATTGATTGTGACCAGTGTTTCCTCAGTGGAAACATTTCACACATTTAGCTAGTCATCATCAAGTGTCCTGAGGAATCAAGGAATGAGAGAGACCTTGGAACATGCAAAACCAGCCCTGCATATGTATTCCTCAATCTCAAATTACTGTACTTGCTGACTGTTCTGTTATGAATGGCATTCCTGAGGTTACAAATGCTTGCATTCTTTGCATCATTTGCTGTCATATCCAGGATGTCACATTATTAATGAAACCCCATCAAACAGTGTATGTGTTTTTTGTTTTTAAAGAACGAACAAACCCAACTTGTTTAAACCAATAGCTTCCCTGTAAGATAGAAGCAGGCAAAGTGACATTTTCAGAGAGATTTCCCCCACTAAATAAAGCGGTACCTCGGGTTACGTACACTTCAGGTTACATACGCTTCAGGTTACAGACTCCGCTAACCCAGAAATAGTACCTCGGGTTAAGAACTTTGCTTCAAGATGAGAACAGAAATTGTGCTCCGGCAGCACAGCAGCAGCAGGAGGCCCCATTAGCTAAAGTGGTGCTTCAAGTTAAGAAGAGTTTCAGGTTAAGAATGGACCTCCGGAACAAATTAAGTACTTAACCCAAGGTAGCACTGTATGCTTTTAATAAACGTTGTTTGCATTTATCCTTTAACCCTATACTCATTCTAAGAGATGATACATAAAACATTTCAAAAAAAATATTTTGAAACACCTCTGAGCTATTATTCATTTACAGACATAACCCTGATTAGAATGAAAGGATTTGTCAGGAATTTGAGCAATTTTCTACTTGGGCAATTTACCATTAAAATGCTTAGAATTTTGTTGAACAATCGTTAAAGGGGGGGGGGGTTACTTCCACTAGGCTATATTGGCTAGGCATATGATCGAAGGGCGATATAAAACTATTGATGATGATGATGATGATGATAAGGCACTATGTAATCCACTACTCTATTTAAATACCAGGATAAATTTTCAGGTAAGGACCAATTTGTAGCAGAGGTTGGATGACCATCTGTCATGGATGCTTTAGTTGAGATTCCTGCATTGCAGGGAGTTGGACTAGATTAGCCCGAGGGGTACTTTCCAACTCTACAATTATATCATTCTGTGAGTCAGCTTGTAGAACACTCTCAAGGTGTCATCAGGAAATAAATAGGCCATTGATTTACACAAGGAACTATTGATGTACTAATGAACTATTCTGATGACAGAAATGTTCAGCCAAAACAGCATTTTCTGAAGAATCTACAGCCCATGAAGGGTTACCACAGAATATGTAGATGACTGTCCTCTTCTTGTCCAGTGATGGTTGATGAGTCAATTTAAATGTTAATTTTTGACACGATAAGGTGGAGCCATGGTAGTAATCTGCCATTTTTTTTAACATTATTTTACAAATATTTTCATTATAACCTAGACAGTAGAAGAGAGGTTATTGCAATTCTAATTATATTCAGTTACATTTTCATCTACCAAATGATGTTTGTATTTGTAATTGGATCAAATTATGGTTTGCATGTGCAAACAAACACATTCTCTCACTCACACAGGTGTGGCAAAGAATGTTAAAGTACGTAGAGAGTTCCAGTATTGAGATTTCATTCACTGTTATATTTCCTTTTCCTTGTCCTGCAGAAAATGATGTAGATGGCAAAGCTATGCCAGGGAACCTTTTTTGTTTTGCTTGCTTCACTATTGGCACCAACTGAATCTGAAAAGACAGTCAAAACATACTTAGGAATGGATAGCTGATACTCCCTGCGGACAGTTAACATTCATAGATAACACACAGTTGTGGTGAAAGTGTTTGGCATGTGGCCACTTAACACTATCACATTCCTAAAATACTTGGTAGGCAATGTTTTGATACACTTGGCCTACCTCAGTCAATTGAAACCTGGTAGTTCTGATGCCAGCTGCCTGGATGATTAAGAGGGAAATGCAGTGCAGAGACGCCAATATCTATCTAGCAGATAGACACCTGTCAGGAAATGCATTCTCACATGAATTGTGCTCTAAGAAAAGACAGTTTATAGTTTATTTTTGTACCCGTCAGTCTAGCACATCTCCTCATACATTTCTCCCCATTCCACAAAGCTCTCTGGGGGCCTTGGCTAGGACAGTCTCAGTTTGTCTCAGGGATTCTTGCAAGAGAAGGCAGCGTCCTTCAATAAGGGTAGGGAAAGATGTGATGCAGACATTTGCTTTGGTTTGAAGGTTGATGGAGAGGGAAAGTGTGTAGCCACAATCAAAGGTAGGGGCATTTCCTTGTCATAAATTGTGCACAGATCCTACTAACAGCTGTAATTACAACCCAATAATTTATTCAGTCTGTTGCTCTGAAGCACCCTCTCGTAGGTTGGTCCCGAAATACTCATCCTCCTTTTCCATCCTTCAGCAGGGTGGAGCAGGGTCTTTTTATCAGCTGGGTGCACATTAAGAGAAACCCACTTAGAAAGAACTTCCACATTTCTCCATTTGCCTCGCTGAAGCCAGGTTTTAGCATGGCTGCTTCTGCTGTAGAAGGTTTAGAAGAATTCACTAGAGGCACAGATTCTCAAATTTTGCACTCTCAGGCTCTTCTTCAGACGGCTAAAAATATCTGAGGCCCAACACCGGAGATGGTAACAAGATGGTGGTAAATGGAAGTGGACAGTGGCAGGATCAGAAGGAAATCACTGGCGTGTTCACCCTTTGGAAGTTGCTAAATTCATTGCTGCACTTCTTCGTGGCACAGAGTTCCAAAGTAAAGTGGTACCTCAGTTTAAGAACAGCCCTGTTTATGAACTATTCAATATAAGAACTCCACAAAACCGAAAGTAGTGTTCCGGTTAGCAAACTTTATCTCGGTCCATGAACGGAAGCTGAATGGTGGAAGGGCACTGGCAGCTGGAGGCCTCATTAGGGAAAGCATGCCTCGATTTAAGAACTGCTTTGGTTTAAGAACGGACTTCCGGAATGGATTAAGTTCGTAAACCGAGGTACCACTATACATATTTTGCCCCTTGAGATATCCCAACTCAGTCTCCCCATTTTAGAAAGAATTTTCTGAAACAGAGACTCTATAAGTGGAGAGAGGTTTTCATTTTATATCCTCATGCTTTATTTGCAAATACGCTTACCCAGATGTTTTCATGGTACAGAGGGTGCAGATCAGCACACATTTGTTCCAGGCCTGAATAAACTGCCAGTGCCAATCAGGCCACAGGAAGTTTTCTTGAACAGGCCAACCCTTACCTTACATTCTGTACACAAGTGCAGATGTGCAAGCACAAAGCAATCAGGTGTGATGCGTGCCCACACATAAATGTGGCCCGTGGTCCTTTAAAATACCCAGAAGCAGCAACCAGGGAAGATTCCTGCTTCCATGGATTTTAAAAGGGATACCACATTTTACACGCATCACCCATCAGAACTGACGAGAGTATGTATTTTGTAATGGTATCAAGTGTGCTTGGACACAAAGGTCATGGCAAAGACAAACCTTAAAGCTGGATTAGCCATTATCTTAAGTTGCCATAATGGCAGGTTTGTGATCAAGCTGTAGCAACACTAGGGTTGTGCATGCTGCTTTGAGGAATGACTGAATCCAGCTGTTTTGAGTTCAGATATAATGCCCCAAAGTAGCTTGCAGGGCCATTGGCTGCTGGATTTGTTCTGCGAGCTGACATGAGTGCTCAATAGGAGCAGACATCTTTTGTTCTGCTTCCCTGGTCCCTTTATTGGAATATTAACCTCATTCAGAAAAGCATGCAGTTCATGCCCACAGGGGGTGTCTGCCATTATGATGACTGTGGAATTACTAGGAGCAATGCATAAGCCAAAGGTTTAGCAGTGCCTGTTTCACATCCCCTTTCTAGATGTTCAGAAAGCATACTGGAAGGGAAGCAGTATTGCAACAGCACTGGATCTTCTCCCTCTTCGGATGTTCACTCAAGCAAGCTATCCTTCATTCATTTGTTAGGCTATACATTTATTCCTTTTACAAAGCATAATTCAATTTTTGGTTGGACCTGTTAATACATCTTGTTATATCTGTTACAAAAATATTACTATCAAACAATCCAAGATAACTATTCATGCAGATTATTATGGGAATACATTTTTCCATAATCAGAGCTAGGGGACAAAATTCTCCTTCAAATAATGAATAATTGTGAGATGAGGCGGAAGCTCATTATAAGCCCCCATTGCTGCTGTGATTAAAAGGACCCTTCAATGAGTTGATAAGCAAATCCCATGTGACTGGCCCTTCATCCCTTGCTAACCCGAAATATAGGCTACAATTTGGGCTGTACATTGACTTAGTCATGAGTGAGCCCCATGGAACCCTAGTGGACTTACTTCTTCGTAAAGATGCCTAGAATAAGGCAAAATGCTTGCTATTTTAAACACCTCTGAGGGCTAAGAGCCAACACAATTCGTATTCAGGAGAGCACATAGGCATGTTGTCAAAAACCGTCTCTAAACCTTCCTATAGGTGACACTTCCTCAGAATGACAATTCTTATCTCGAAGGACAAGTGAAGCAGTCAGGTTAAATCAGTCAATGACCATCTGGGTATTTGCCTTAAGAAAGCCAGGCGTAACTCTCTTCCGAGGAGTTTTGTTGTCACTTTAAGATACTGTTGCTATTGTTGCCCCAAAAGATATAGTCACAACTTTTGTAAGGCCGTATATGCAATGGAACTTCTGGAGTTTTGAAAATGCGGGCTTTTGTCAAGGTGTGAACTAGTGATATGCCAGAATCTGTCCTCCGGTTTTTCAGACGTTTTCATCCGCTGAAAGAAGCTTCAATTTTAATGCCGCATTCTCCAGGCAATTGAAAATTCCTTTGGAATTTCAGTGAAGTTAACCTTAACCTAGTGAGATGGCTGGTGTGTTGTCATTTTCTTTCCATTAATCATTATTCCAGCACTCTGTAGCCTCCCCTGCTGCCCACACTTCCTGTTTGAAAAAGCCCCATGGGAGAAGGCACTGCAGGATGTCTTCCTCTGACCTCTAATTGAAACGCAGGAGCCAGAAGGCCTGGCTTGTTGTTGTTTTTTTAAAAAAAGTCTTTCCCTTAACCTTAAAAACAAACAAATAATCTTTCCACACTAAGGTCTTTAAAAGTAAAAAAAAACAAAAAAAACAAATAATGGTTGTCTGGTACCCAACAGTTAGTCTTTCCACTGTGCTGTTCTTAACTGGAAGGTGAAGCTGAGAGAACCAAGGGATTTTCAGGAAGTGCAGGCACCCAGGAAGGCTGCAGAGTGTGGCCAGTAGAAAGACCTTGAGATCCTTTTCGGTGAGCTTTTTCCATGTGGGATGAGTGACTACTAGCGGTACGCAAATCTATCAATTTCAGCTTCTCTCAGTTTGTGATTATTATTCATTTCTGGTGCAAAATTTGCCCAATATGCAATTGTTTATATGTGATATTGCCTAATATATGCATCTTTACAGAGCAGCATCCCTTACTATAATGCATTTTTGTATGTTGTTTTCAAGAATATGCATTATTCTGGACACTTTACATGGCTGGGGAACTGTATTGCAAAATTTGGAGAGAATTTTGAAGGATAGCTGTGTTTTCGTTCTCATATTTTCCCTGTAATTTAAAATATTAATACTTTGAACTTGGCCTGGAAAATGAAAATATCTGTGTGAGAGACAGAACAGAGTGGTTTTTCTCAGGGTGTGAAGCTGAGAAAGATGGAAGCTGTCCCAAGTGAGGGATGGGTGGATGTGGATCTCTGTGAATTGAAGATAGAAGGTTGATAGAATATATATATATAAAATTATGTGGGTGTTTCTTTTTTCTTTCTTTTCTTTTTCTTTTTATTATTTTTCACTTTTTAGATATTAGCTTTGTTTGGTTTTTATTGTATAATATGGTAAAAACCATTAATAAAATGGATTTTAAAAAAGAACACAACTCCGCTTAGGTGGAAAGGAGTCATAAAAGGTAATGGTAAAGGACCCCTGACAGTTAAGTCCAGTCGCGAACAACTCTGGGGCTGTGGCGCTCATTTTGCTTTACTAGCCAAGGGAGCCGACGTTTGTCTGCAGACAGTTTTCCCTGGTCATGTGGCCAGCATGACTAAACCTCTTCTGGCAAAACCAGAACAGCACACGGAAACACCATTTACCTTCCTGCTGGAGCGGTACCTATTTATCTACTTGCACTTTGACGTGCTTTTGAACTGCTAGGTTGGCAGAAGCTGGGACAAAGCAACGGGAGCTCACCCCGTCATGGGGATTCGAACTGCTGATCTTCCAATCGGCAAGCCCAAGAGGTTCAGTGGTTTAGACCACAGTGGTGGTAATGAAATAATATATTGCACAGCTCTCCTTTAGTAGAATTATTGCAATGACACACAACTTTTTAATTTTCATGCCACCATTAATACATTTGGGAACATTAGTAACTATAGCTTAATATTAGTTAAGTTAAATTTTATTAGTTAAGGCTGCAGTCCAATACACACCTACTAAGCACTAAGACCCATTGAACCAAGTAGGATGTACTTCTGAGTAAGCATACATAGGATTGTTCTGAAATTCTTTGAAATCATTGGGCACAATCCAGCCAAAGTAAACAAAACATTATAAGACCTTCAGTGGGAGATGTTTTTTTTAAAGCACATGCTTAATGTTCTCCAGTTGAAATTAATGGGGCATTACAAAGTGCTTAACTTTGGCTGGATGGGCTCCATTATTAGTCATAAGTGGAATATGTGCATCTGGATGAGGGCAGTAATTATTTAATTTTATTTTGTTAGCCAAAAGCTTCCATCAGTGAGAACACAGCACTGAAAGACCGACATCTGTTCTCTAAGGCACAAATAAGGTTATGTGTTCAGGAAATGTAGTTATGGTCAAGGCCAGGGAAATATATTCAGCTTGGGTTTTGTTTTTTTACTCCACGTTTTGCTGCCTATTCTTTGTCTAACAAAAGACCCTAAAGCTTCTTCTAGAACTAAGGACCATGCGTTCACTTCTACCCTAACCTTCAGTTGTACTACTTCAGAACATAGAATTTATTTTGCATTTATGTTCAAAGTGCTCCACAGTGATAAATTCAAGGATCCTCGCAATAGTCTTATAAAGGTAGGCTGGTGTTATCATCTGCATTATGAGACAAAGAGGCTGAGAGGATTGTACACAATTTAAGGCCTCTGGCCGGCTGGCCGGCTATCTCTTCTGGCTTCCTTTGATTAACTCTGTTGGAACCAAAAGAAAACAGTGCTGAGACGAGGAGGAATAATGCCTAATTAGTATTTAATTCTCTGACATTTAAAACCAGTTTTTCTTTGAACTTCTGCCTTTTCATGAATACACAACACTTTAGAAATAGGTGGCAGCTAGATTTTTCCTTCTTTTTTTCCACCATCAGTCACTAACCAGCAATACAACAAGCAGAAAGATTTTCATTTAGCTGCTGTTAACCACAACGCCATCCTATGTAACAAAAATAAACCCAATGCTAAGTAATGGGATAGTAAAAAACAACAACTGCTGAGGTTAAGAGATAAATATCATTAGTATACAAAGGAATAAAGCTGTACACAGGCATCAAGAGTACCATTAAGCTGTTTCACTTCCACACCAGAAGACGACATTTCCATTAGAGAGCTGATGAGTGCTTTTTCAAGAGCTACATTGCTTTTTGCAAAATGTCATTGAACACTAATATCTTTGAGCAGATTTATAACTCACAGTTTTAAATTTGAAATATAGCAGTACAATTATTTGATTTTTTTTTAAAACCAAACATTTAGACTATGTTTAATTTAACCCCACCCCATCCAACCCTTTCTCAGAAAACTTTAGTGCTTCGCAGCCTCAAGACGCCTAAACCACAAAGGACACATTTAACGAAACTTGCAAGTAAATAAGAAGAAATTTGCCCTGTTTGTAGCCTGTCCATTGCCACCAGCAATAAGGTCACGACATGTAACCTTTGACAAACTTGAAAAAACCTGAATAAAATATAATGATTCCTTCTTCTTAATAGACATAATTAAGCTGAACTTGGTCTTTTCCTATTAACTTTGTAGACATGGCTTGTAGGACAACTATTCAGTTTGGAAGCATAAACTGGAGCACTGGCACTCATTTCCAAATTGTAATTTACTGGATAAAATATTATGATTAAGAGTTTTGCATACACTTTGCATTTAGGTGGAAGACTCCAGGCTCTGCCACTGTTGTTTTGACACCATTTGTGTAATTCCTAGTTTGACGTGAGAATATTTTGGAGCTCATCACAATATAATTGTGATCCCTCCCTGCCAATGAATATCAGTGAAAATGCAGCGAAAATTAAAGGAAAGGACCTCAGCACGGTTTGGGTGGATAAGGTCCTAAGTAATGACCAGGAAAGCCCTACCTCTACCCAACAGCCAATAAACAGCTCAAAACAAACAGTTAATTTAAAGGGACTGTATACCTGGGTGGTAGGGCACATGTATTTAAGTTTCACATTCAATCTGCTTTAGGGTGTACCAGGGCAAGAAAGGAGGTCAGCTTAGAAGGCTGCTGCCAATAGATGCCCTTTATTTTCCATTTATTCACTGCCCCTTTTTTTTGGCAAGGCGCTCAATGCAGCTCCCATCCCTTGCAGTAATGGTTTGCAATTTAATAGACTCAATACAAAAAGGGGAAAGGAAATCCAAGTATATTGGCTACTACGTTAGGGGTGGATCCAAATGGTGGTTGTTCACCAGATTCCTTATATTTATTACCAGATTCCTTATATTCTATACTTAAAAGGGTATAATGCCATGAAGAGGAACCACACAAGCTCTCAACTGTATGTTAGGCTTTGCCACTCAAACCTAAAGAACATTAAAATCGGAAAAGGGGAGTGTCAGTGTTCCACAAAGCCCACCTTGCTCTCTGTTCCAGGTCCATTTCTGAAAGAGCTCATTTGTGAAAGGGCGTGTAATATTACAAACAAAAATGTTGCCTGTTTCTTCTGCTTAGAGTTTTGCCCTGTTAGCTTAGGGCACAGAGGCTCGTTTAATTTCAATGTACACAGCTTGTACAATGAGAATAAAGGTATATTATTATTATTATTATTATTATTATTATTATTATTATAATATCCAATGTGGTGCCCTACTCCATGCTGTTGGATTCCAACTCCTATCAGCTGTAGCTAGCATGATTGGTGGCCAGTGATGATGGGAGTTGTGGTCCAACAATATCTGCAGGGCACATTGTTTGCTGTTCCTGGCTTGGGGCAATTATCTGGATGCAAAATGACCACTGAGGTCATTTTGCCACATTCTGTCAGGATGGTATTGACAGCCATCCCCAGTGGAGCAGGTACTATTTTTCAGTCTAGGCTGCAAATGAGAATGCATGAGTGACTAGGAGATTTGTTTTTGGTTTTTTAACCACCTTAGGTTGGTTTGCTGACTGTCACCCTACCTGCAGAAAGCACTGAGTGAGATTGAAATCCTCTGCACACTTAGGAGTACGTGCCATTGTACTCAGTGGGACATACTGTTCATCATCATCATCATTTTTAATTTGTATACTGCCTTTCTATCTTACAATACTCAAGGCGGTTTACAAGCTGAAGAAACAAAAAATGTACATCTTATAACAATCTAATGCAATACAAAAATGTGATAATAAAACATAACTTTAAAATAGGCAACCTTCATCAAAAAAGTAACATTCAACAATCATTAGAATAGTATAAAATAATAATATCAACATATAAAAGTTAAACAAAAATCCACTCAACAGTTACAATAATATCTAAACTATAATCAATAAAACAACAGCAAGCCACAGTACATCAAACAATGCAATACACATTAAGAAGCAGAGGGTAGAGCAAGGCAGGTGGAAAGAGGCCTTGCCTGGTGGAGTCTCTCCCCTCACAGTTCTTCCTCCAGGAACAGCTTCCTTATGAGGACTCCTAGGGCCGGAGGGTGGGGCAAGGCAGGTGGAAGGAGGCCTTGCCTGATGGAGTCTCTCCCCTCACCAATAAAATGCCATGAGATTATACTGGCAATCTCAGTTATACATACACCAGTTGCGTCCAGACTTGACTGCTGCCATTTGCTGCATACAGAATTGCCTTAGAAAGAAAAGAATGGAAACTGCAGTTGGTCCATAATGTAGGAGGAAGGCAATTGGCACGTGTTGCACTAATTCTACATCAATTGCATTGGTTCCCAATTTGTTTTCAGGCTCAACTTAAAAGTGCTGGTGTTGACATTGAATAGCTTGAGACCAGGTTATTTGAAAGACTGCTTGATCCCATGTGAACTTGAGTGCTAAGATCAGCATCAAAGGTTGTACTCTGATCCCACTAGAAGATACAAAGGACAGAACTCCCTTCCTGTGAAAATCCAATACATTTCTTTTCTTTTTAAGACAGTCTTTGAAAATCTTTTTATTATGTCATACCTTTAGCAACTGGTTTTATCATTCTTGGTGGCTTTTAGATTAGATTTCTGCCAATATGTTTTTAAATTATATTTGATACTGTGTATATGTTGCTTGTTACTGTATACTTTTCAATTGCTCTTTTATTGTTTCGCTCTCTCCTTTTGAGAGCTTCCCTGACAGAACACCCGCATGCATGGACACACGCAGATATTTAAATGAAATAAATATATAGGACTTGAAGGGGCAGAGGTCATAGTGGCTCTTACAGAAATGAAATCTGTTACAACAGGATGTGTAGGAACTTCTGTATCAACCGCTCAAAGGCATCTAAGACTACTGCAAAGCTCAATTCCTTATACTTCATGCTTCAATACTGTAAACGTACATTTGCCAGTCTCTAGAAGGATTCAGGCAGACTCCTTCTCTCATGTGATTATTACAATTGTCATGGTTTAGCTTGGTTGTTTGAAAACATTATTAAGGTTCACTTGTCGTGAATAAAATCCAGGGATCAAGTACACATCAGTGGGTTATTAGGCTGGGGCACAAGAAGCTTTCCACAGTTAATTTCAGTGAAAACAAGTGGTCTGAAATTTAATTGCTAGTATCATGCATCTGATCTAAATATGGGGCAGAAAATGTCTGGAAGGACCCCATTTTAAAAACCACTCTGGAATCAGGTTAACCTGCTGAAATGCATGAAACAGTGGAGTCCTAGTTTTGTCACCTTTTGTCTCCCTTCTAGTAGTCATCTCCCATGGCAGGAGGTCTACCTTTAAGCAGCAATGTACCTGGAGACTGTGCTCTGCTTCTTGGCTTTCTTACAATGGACAAAATCTGGGGGAAAGGAAAAAAACATTGTTGACATGGAGAGTTTTGCGGGTTGGATCTCTGTGAATGAATGGTCAGGAACTTGATAAAATGGTGTTAATAACCATGAACAGGACTCTGATTTGCAATTCACCCTGACTTGGTATCTAGCACATCTGAAAGATGTGCATGTGTGAAACAGCCATTTTGAAATTTGGTAGAGTGAAACAGAAAGAGACAGAAACGTGGGACCTTTAACTTGACTCTTCAGGGTGGAGCAGCTCTAACTGGGAAAACTTGGATGGAAGAAAAATATTATTCAATTTTAATACATACATAATTTTATTTGTATGCCACCATTCTGCAGTTCAAA